GAAAGGGAGCGTTAAAATCAGAGCGAGAGCCGGGCTTCTCAAACTAAAGGACTCTGTGAAAGATGACCCTATTTTTTAAAATTCTTTACTCCTATCAAAGCAATGACTTCTTTATCAATGACTTTTAGATAGCATAATCTAGTTGCCAATGTTTTCCACTTTGCAAAGCTGTAGAGGGATTCTTCCGATTTTTTAATTAAAACCTTAGCACAAAAGTGTGCTAGTAACTAATTGAAAACAAAGTTGTGCTAGTAACTAGCTGAAAGTACGATTTAACAAGTTCCATTTTTAATTATTGCATAACGTTCACGAAGAATTATATGTACGAAACAAAATATAGAATTATTTGATGCACAGAAAGAGACTCGTATCTATGATCAAGTCTTAAAGAAAAAGTTGCAACTTTGTTATGAGCCCTCGTACCAACTACTGACACTAACGGCTGTGAATTTTTTACTTTTTAAATGTATTTTTGTTTCTTTTACATTACGAGAATTTATTTTTTACATAATGAAAGTTGAGATGATTGTTATATGATTTATTTTTAGTTGCTACGTGAAAATTTTTACATTTCACACCTATTGAAAGTGAATAAATAATAAAGTAAATTACCGAAAACTGGTCCACGGATCACCTGTAGCGCTCTCATAAGGTCTAAAATGTCTAAAGGCATATACAATTATTAGACCAATTACGTTTTCTAAACGTCCGACTAACATCTGAGTGATATATTCTTACTTTTTTGGGTAATTATTTAATTGAGATCTAAATATTATTATTATTTTTTTTTGTCACTGATAATAAAACTATAACAAATACGTGACTGGATTGTTTCTTTAAATTGTGTAGGTCAGTTCGAGACTGAGGCAATAGAAGGCGATGAAGCAGATTTACACAAATGTCTTACAACCTGCAACAAGAACCCAGGCCATACAGACTTCATCCCCGTCAGGAAATTTAGCCTCAAGGATTTGCCCAAACCATATCGCTTTGATGATGTGTTTGATTACATCAATGTTTTAAGTGATTTGACAGTCAAAGTCCACGTTCAACATGGCTGTGCAGCTAGGTCAGACAATCCATTCAAAGGCAAAGCTCGATTCAGAACCGGAACGGGAAAAGTCTCGAATGTTTGTAAATATGTCGATGGACTAGATAAATACGAAAGGCAAAACGTTAACAACCGGAAGTGCCCGTGCCCCAAATGTCAACCAACCGACACACCCAGCCATGTATGGTGGGAGATTACTATCGAAACAGCTGCACATGTAGTTTCTGAGGAAACTGACATGGCCAAGGTTACCCTGAGATTTTTTTTCGATAGCGAAGACAGCCGATTTGTTGTTTTAGACCACGTGAGCATCAGTGAATTCAGTAAAGAAAGGGACAGATGCCAGATAAAATGTGTGACTTGTGATGAAAGTCTCGGAAAACGGCTGGAAGATTTAAATGAAAAAATTGACGACCTCTGGCGCACAACTTACTATAAGTACTCCTCTCTTAAAGATGTTGACAGATTAGCCATAATTATTTCTCACCCTCACGGGTGTGCCAAACAGATCAGCATTGGTCGTTGGACGAGCAGAACCAAAGTGGGCGATTGTTACAGTCAGTTCACTTATACAACTTGCACCTGTCCTGGAAGCAGCGGAGCTTATGTACTACTCATAGGATATTCTGGCCTCCGCGGAAAGGATCCGATTCTCCACCAAGGATCAGAGGACTCGGGGTTAAATCGTAGTGCAATCGGGTGGGTTTTACCCGCAAAGGTGTGAGAATGTCACCTTCAATTTAGAAAGAAGTGCTGAGGTGATGCCTTCAATTTGGAAGGATACTAGTGAGTAATGAAAACGTCGCCATCAATAAGGAAAGAAAAAAAAAAAGATGAAGTGCTAAAGATATGAACTCGTTGGATAGAAACAATGAGATGATAAAACGTTCTACCTCCAGGGTTTCTGCACCAAAGTCAATATGAAATTCAAGGAATTTTCCAGGACATTTCCAGGAGAATATTTTAAAATTCCAGGACATAAAATTTGCGCAAAAATATTACATAACAATTGTCAAAGTTGATTATTATTATTGCTCATTAATCTTCGGACTTGAAGAGAAGCCTTATTGTTGTTATTGTGTATATATACATATATATATATGTAAGTTATCTTTTAATCTAGTAATAACTTGACTGTCATCCCAAAACCTCAAACAAACATTTTTCTTGTCAAAGATTTATTAAAGAACATTACAAATGTTTGCTATTCCATTTTTTTAAAAATAAGAAACATTCTTAGAGTTGTCTTCTCTGTGGTGGAAATGTAGGCTACATTTTTAGTTCCTATGTGTATGTAGGCCTAATGTTTTATTAACTGTGCTTAAATCCTCCTCATAAACAGAGCCTGTAACATACAGGCCTATTTGTGTGTTTAGTTGGCATTAGCTTACTAGATAATGGCTTTTGGATTTTTTTTTCGGGGGGGGGGGGGTATTAAGCCCATTAGCGGTTTTTTTTCAAGCACAATTTCTTTTTCAACTATGTAGTTTCCCTGTCTTTTACAACCGAAATAACTTTTACGGACTTTCACAGCTGTGTGCGAAATATTTTGCTTAAATCTACAGTAGATCTAGAGTCTAAATCTAAGTCACAAAATTCGCGGACTTTTCACGGCTGTGAGTGACTTATTTTCACTAGATTCTATGATTTAGTGTAAAATTTAGAGTCTAGATCTAAATTTAAGACACTAAAATTCGCGACTTTTCACGGCTGTGTGAGAATTATCTTCACCTATCTACTGTAAATTTAGATTCTAGATCTAAGTCATTAAATCCGCGGATTTTTCGCGGCTGTGTGACAATTATCTTCCCTTAATCTACCGTAAATCTAGACTCTAGATCTAAGTCACTAAAAGTCGCGGACTTTTCACATCTATGTGAGAATTATCTTCATCGAATCTACCGTAAATCCAGACTCTAATTTAAGTCACTAAAATTTGCGAGTTTTTCTAGGCTTCACTACATTCTAGAGCTAGTGGTTTAGCGTAAATCTAGAATAATCTAGACATTAGATGTATCGAAATAATTAAATTGACTAAATTCACGAAGTTTTCAAGTTAGGTGTGAATTGTCTTCACTAGATCTAAATCTAGATACTATTTCTAGCTAGAGTCTAGATGATTTATACGCAAAATCACTCTGTTATGAGATTTTAGGTGAGGGAGGGCCCTTCAGAAAAATAATCATTAAAATCCCAGGTGAAATGCCCTTGCTTTTAGCCAAGGCCATCTTCAATCACGAGAACACGCTTCACAAGTGGGTGAAAGGCGGTGTAGACTCGTCACTGGTCAGCTTATTGGCACAACCAGCCCGTAAAAAGTTATGGAACGTAGTTTGGATGAAAATCAACGTGCTCAGTGAAAAAGCGATCCGATAACGATACTAATCTATAAATAGATAAGATCTATCTATTGTCAAGGAGCAGTATACACATTCTGCGCAAACTCGGAAATGCTCATTTCGAATCTATTACCGCCGCGACGGCCAACCAGCAACGGTGCCGAATTTTTTTAATACCTTTTTTTTTTCGTTCGGCGAAATTCAAGGACATTCAAGGAGATATTTTAAAATTCCAGGAGATTTCCAGGACATCCTGAATTTCAGGAGGCCGCAGACACCCAGTACCTCTTCATTTTCCTCATGATGTGAATGAGGAATTGATGGAGATTTTAAAACTAGCCTAAATGAAGAACTCATCAAGATTGTATAAATACGACGTAGCTTAAATGATTACTCGTCGAGAGTATACATTTAAAATGGAAATAATAACAACAATACTTTTACCGGTACACTTAAGATCTGTCAATAACAGTCACTTCGAAAGTACGAGGTCCTACGTCATAACAGTGAGTGTTTTTAATGAGCCATCTGGCCGTTATTACTAAACGATTTGTCTGTAAGAAACTTTAATATATATAAGTGTGTGTCATTGGAATTGTTAAATTAAAGAGAATTTGAGGGGAAATGGTATTAAACTTTAAAAAAAAAGGTAGGCCTATTGGTCTAGCACTGATTGACATCAAATGGAGGTCAAGTAACAGAGTACGGAAATGTTGATAAACTAGAGCAACCTTTTCCAGGCCTTTTGGAGGACGTGTACAGAAAAAAGAGTTATTGATCAAATAAACTAATTTTTAACGAGGAGAAACTCTATTATGGTGCATATTGGTTTTAGCACTGTAGACTTGTTAACAATGTTTACAAAAATAAATGATTACTGTGAATAAACTATTGAGTATGAAAATCTTCAAAACAAATCATTTCTCTTTATCATTTTTTTTTTTTACTCTTTGGGCCTTGGGCCAGATACGCACATGGCTACAATACAAAACTTGGGTCACTAAAACAATAGTCAACACTAACAAGTATTAGAAGAGGGCACAGAATAAGTTCTGAAAAGTACTTTGTAAATTAAGGGACACAATCTATACGTTACAATAAGTAAATTTACGGGTCAAAAGATTTAGACCGACCTTTTTCCTCACAGGACAAGAGAGAGGTAGACTAATGTTTGATCTGTATGTGATGTTTTGTTATTTTCTAACTTCAGTTTATTGTGATATATCAGAGAACACACCAGGGGGCATAGCCAGTGAGTAAAGCTAGTGTGTATACATATAAAAGTAAAAAAAAAAGTTCCTTTTTCAGACGATGCTGTCTACAGGGCAGATGGTGTAAAAGTCATCTGTTTCTGTAGCCAACGGTTAACGAGGGTGTCATGTGGCCAGCACAACAACCAACTGTCTTTATTTTTTCAATCTTCACCAGGATTTGAACATAGGGGACCTCCGGATCAGAAGCCAAGTGCCTTACCAGTCATCCAGCACGCTTCTGTGTGTGTGTGTGTATATATATATATATATATATATATATATATATATATATATATATTATATTAAAAACATACACACAGACATACATTAAAATATATAATAATTTATCATATATATATATATATATATAATTTTATTTTGATAATAACACCAACTAAAAAAAAAGGCAACATAGTACAATTGTAAAGACAATATAACTTTACAAAAACTAACATTCAAAAGGAGGTGAAAAGATAAACACAAAAATTGTTTGCTCTTAAATACAATAAGAATAGCAGCACAGAGTTAAGTGACCAAGGTCAGTTGGTCACTGGCCATCTTGTACACAGCTAGTACATAACATGTAGCCTTAAAAGAACTACACAGATCTATCAATGCATCAAGTAGTGAAACAGGGTGAAAATTCGAAAGCTTGTCCCAGAGTTCAAATCTTGCCAGAGAGGTAGATGTAGAACATTTCTGCTTGATGTTCATGAGTTCATTCAGCTTAATAATGTCTGATGATGGAATTATTGACAATTTTGTGTAATACACATTTGACATTTTCATCTACCATAAGCCACAAAACAGTGACCTCAAATTGTAAAGATAAATTTCCTTTTGTTTTGTAGGTTTATGCTGAATAAGTTTAAAATACTTTTTTCCCCCCTATGAACTAAATGTGGACCCCATCAATGAACTAAATGTGGACCCCATCAATGAACTAAATGTGGATCCATCAATGAACTAAATGTGGACCCCATCAATGAACTAAATGAGAATCCATCAATGAACTAAATGAGAATCCATCAATGAACTAAATGTGGACCCCCATCAATGAACTAAATGTGGACCCCCATCAATAAACTAAATGTGGATCCATCAATGAACTAAATGTGGACCCCCATCAATGAACTAAATGTGGATATATCAATGAACTAAATGAGGATCCAACAATGAACTAAATGAGGATCCATCAATGAACTAAATGAGAATCCATCAATGAACTAAATGTGGATCTATCAATAAACAAAACCTGATGTACTGTAGTTTAATCCACTTCTCATCGATCCACTGTGCAGAACTTGATGATATCCACACCAGTCATACCCCACACAATGGACGGCAGCACCACTACTCCATGGGCAAGTACAGGTTGTATAAGTAAACTTATTTTGGAAATGATATTTACCAACCTGGCGTTTGTCCAACCAGCTGCCAAAACTAATTTGTTTTGAGCACCCATGAGGGTGTGACACTATCAAGGCTAACCTGTCAATGTCCCTAGTTGCCAAATATTTTTTTCTAACTTTCCATATGCGAGTATTGAATTTTTCAAACGTTTGGCTGAGCTTATGTCCTATACTTTTGTCACATGTCAAGCATATCAACCAACTAATATCTGCGATAATGTCTGTATGTATTATTTTTACTGTATCAACAACGACTACTGGACAATCAACCACGTCATAAAAGAGTCTCAGAGACGTGTGGCTGGCCTCAATATCATCAAAAATAACATGTGCAGTTGTAACTACAGTAATTTTCCACCACTGACAGGCAGGTGAATCTGAATGTTGACATCTTTTACATGGACACTTTAAGCTAAGCACTGAATGGGGACCTAAATTTTGACCATATTCACTATCCCCGTACTGTTGTAATTGACTATATTCATTATCTGTGTACTCTTGTAATTGACGATATTCACTATCTGTGTACTGTTGTAATCCACAAAGAATTCTGCTCCCTGTTCTCAAGTTGGTATTTCCTCTGATGCTGTAGAAGGGATACTGCTCAGGTCTGCAAGGACTGGTCATTTTCACCATTACCTTAACTGTCAGGTCAGCTGTAGCTTTGATAAAGTTATATAAACTATCATCATGATGACCTTCAGGCAAATGTTCTAAAGTGAATGAACCAACAGGTATAAATTTTGAATGACCTGGATTCTTTTTACAGTCCATAAGGTATTTATGAAGATTGGCTTCTCCACATTCTGACAACTGAGTTTCATGATCACCTGAGGAACAGATCAAAAAGCAAATGTAAATATAAAATAATTGTAATTTTTATTACGATGGAATGTGAGTGTATAAAAGTGAGGAATTATCTGAGCGAGATAACAAAAACAGAACCATGTGTTAAGTTTGGATAGCGGGAACAGTGGATTTTACATGGGTTGAGATTTTGTAAATGATATGACATCTTGTAACTTGTGTGTTCATATATACTTCTACATTGAGATAGAAAGCTGCAAATATTTATTTATAAAAGTTAAGTTTATTTTTGTTTAAAAGAAAATGTCTAAGCTTTATTCATATTAGAATGAAAGTGAAGTAATCTGCCTACAAGGGTAAAATTGATTAACTGTCTGAAGCTACATTAAAACACAGTTTTATATAGGACAAATAAAACACAGAAAAAAAAAAGCAGAAAAGCATTGTGCAAGTTAAAACCCCAGGACCAGAGTAAAGACTAATGCCTCAAGAAAGGTTTATACATGGCAGCTTAGAGAAGAAAAAGAACTAAAGGCGAAGGGTCTAATTTATGTCTGGTGACATTGAGTTTAACCACTTCTGTACAGCAGTTGACAAGGTTGTTTAACATTCAATATTTTCCCAATTGAGACCATGTACACATTTGAGGCGGGTGAGCTCAAGGGTTTGGTCCAAAATAAAAATCCCAATGAACCAGACAGTGTTTAAAACTGAACAGACTGAAACAAATGAATGTAACACAGTTGCAAAAATATGTGACAGTCAAATGTAATTTGAAATGATAAAATTAAATAAACTTTAATGAACTGCTATGACTTACCATTAAAGCTATGTTTAATAAGTCTTCTTGTGTAAGAATTATTCATTACTTTGACAATCTGAAATAAAGTTTGTCAAGTGTCAAGTAAATTAATAACAATTATGAAAAATATGAAGCACAGTCTATTATATATATATAATACATATATCCATTTCGCACAGACAGGTAAAAAGGAAAGCAGCTGGTCTCAGAGAGATCTTGCAAAAGGTTGTGGCACACACATATGTAATATGAAAAAAGCCCATGCTGACATCAGGTGCAGAAACAGAATTTCCATAGAGACCCCCAGCAGACAGTGGCTTTATCTGCATTAGATGTGGCAAAATATGCAGGAACTAAATCTGCTAGCCTTGGTCATGTGAAATACTACATTCTTCTTTAATCTATGGAATCATAGACAATCAATAGGAATCACACTGACACTATTCATACAGTCAATACAGTTCATACACCCCAACAAATATATATAATATAATATGTTATTAGAGCATAGAATGGGTTGCCTGAATCAGTCAGGAAAACCAACAACTTGGCAGAGTTTAAGTCATTGATTAACATAACATGCATTAGCATGTATTTGTATTTTCAATTTTGGCATAATTTAGGCCATGTCGTGCCCGTAATCCCTCAAGAACTAAATTTTATACAGAACAAATACAAATGAAGAAACTAATATACTTATATATATTTAGACTATAGATCTATACAGTAACAACTGTCAATAACTCAATTAGACTAAATAATGATAATCATAATTGACAATCTGATCATAATCATATAATAAATAAAAATAGAGATATTATTAGAGAGATATAAAAAAGTACCTTCTTGAAGCGTTTTCACTTAGACTTACGGGTCCGTGAGCAAGTTTGGGCTATATAGATTTAGTATATAATAGCTATATAAACTTATAAAGGGGTCCCCTGCTCAAAAACATTACAGAACCTTTGAGTCTGAAAGTCTGATCTAGACCTGTGTCTACGACTACGTGTTCACAGAATAGCTAGCGTTGTTTTTCTTTTCTTATTTTCATTTTTATTTAACTCAGTCACTGACCTAGATATCTATAACAATAAAAATTATGTAAACAAACAAAATGGCTGCACCCTTGGCAATAGTGCGTTACGTTACGGTACAAAGAGTCATATTTAAGCCCCATTCAAAATACGTATGTAGAGCTTCACAAATTCAGGTGAAATTTCATTAGATATAGATCTATAGAGTTAGAGTATACTATGTGTCTAGATTCTAGATGTAGATCTAGATTTTACGTATATTACTAGATCTATATAAAATAAATATATTGTAAAGATAGATCTATTAGATGTGCATGCTTGACTAACCATGCCAGTGTGTTATTTTCTTGTCTGACCACTTGACATTAAGCAAACACTATTGCATAACTTGCGATGAAAAAAACACTGGGTAGTCTTGTAGTATCATCCACAACACATGTATAGCACACAATCCTACATGGTCTGACCAGGTTGTTAAAATCAGTCAAACATAGTCTACTAAGTCTATTTACATTTTAGTCAGGGAGGGTGTGGATTAAGATGTTTTTTTTTTCTAGAGTTGGTTATCCTAATGCTTGTAGATCTATATAGGCCTAACTGTAAATTAAGACCTAGATCTCAATAATAAGTCACAAGACTAGAATCTTTCATACACTTCAACTTCATATAATGTTTAAGCTGTAAAAAGGGTGTAGGCCTACTTGATGTTCCTGAAGTTAATAAACTATTGTTTGCCGCAAATAAATTGATTAAAACCACTAAATATTGACCTAACACGCTTATCAGAAATTAAACACCAAATGTGAGAGAGAAACTTTGGAACAACCCCATTCATAATACTGCTTAGAAGTTTTTGGCAACTTTCAATTGCAGATATTGACTCCCATAACTTCTACTTTACCCTCTTCAAATGCAGAATGACTAAATAGTTGTTAACTGCATCATAATTTTTGATAATCAAAGTTGATGATATCATGTGATCAGAAAACACACAACAAGGATATACCTTACAATCGCTACCACATGTTGAAAAGTTTTACAAATTGTAATTAAACTTTTAAGCTAGTAACTAAAAAAAAAATATTAAAATACGATTTTAACAAAACTTTTTTTTTCTAGTTAAACTTTGGCCTTAATTAATTTTTTTTAGTTAAACTAATAGATTCTAACTTTATAGTTGACTTTTGCCCATCACTATATAGCAGTATAGTCATAGAGGTCTAGAATCTAGAGACAGAGAGTAAAAAAGTAAGTTGAAAGTCATAACTCATCAAAATGGCATGAGGAGCCGAGTGCGGCATATTTAATCGTGATATTTAATCTCTGCTGACAGTGCTGTACAGGCAGTGGAAATAGGTGTGTTATAAAACATGATACTAGTGACTAGTGCTAGATAGTCTACTTAGACTTTAGACTTAAGAGTCTAGATATCTAGTCTAGATTCTAGATCTACTTAGGTTGTACCTTAGCTATTCTAGAAGTTACTAGAACTCTGTCAATGTGAGTGTCTTAGTCATTCTAGTATTCATAGACTAGCCACATAGTCATACTGACATAGATCTGTCCTGCAGGAAGAGTGAGGATGGCAGCAGGCAGAGTTGAAAACCAGGACTTAACCACTTAAACTTAATGACTTAACAACAGTTCAGAGCGGTGAGCGCATATCACATACATGGCCAAGCACCCATCAACTACTATAGATTATAGATAGACTCTACTACACTAGACTAGATGCGCAGATACTAGGCAAGAGTAATCTATATTATAGAATGTAGATTTATCTAAATTATTAATAGTCCTCTGTTGTAGTTTATGGGACAAGCTACCTGGAATCCGGTTTCTATGTAGTCATTTTCGTC